CATCGTCGGCCTTTAGAAAAATAATAACAAGAAAAAAAACGACCCTAAAGGGTAACTTCCGTTACCATCCGTCAATTCTCAAGTGCGACAATGTGTTACCAACCCGTTGTGGAGTCGTTTATTCTGTCTAGTTGATGGGCTTGTTTTTGTTCGTTACCACTCGAACGTGCTCGATGTCCTTTTAATCGATAGGGATCTAACGGATGTACAATGAGCTGGAACAAATTCTGCAACTATTTTCTATTGCACAATCTATATCATCGGGCTTACTTGTGTGGTTTTCGATCGACGACTGCCGTGCTGGAGAATCTCCGTACCACAGCCTCCGACTGGCCCCGCATGTCAAAGGAGTCCAACAGCAGGGATTAACTTGTGCAATCCTTGATCGCGATGTACGCGCACAGATCCGGACCGGCAACTTCTCTTACAAAGATTTCTGACTTTTTTCACACTTTCCGGTATTGTCTGCCACGGGTTCTGACGATGGCGACGACGATATGCTCTCCTCCGCGTGTGCACTCCACCAACACAAAAGAAAGGCAGAACAATCTTCTATATAACTACGCAGTACCGGCAATCGCTATTGTTTTTTCACTTTTGCTTTCTGCCGGTGCGATGACGTGGCAGCAGTGGTGTTGTCTTGAGAAAGTTTTTCAAAGTGGGTTCCACTCTGATGGTCGAATAATTATGCGATCGGCGACGGACTTGCAGTGGAATTGATTTTTGTGCTGTGTTTTTGCTTGTCGACTAATTCAAGCTGAACTTTGCATTAGGTCCTAAGTAACATTGATCGATTCTCTTCGTCGACTTTCTCTTTCTTTAATAACTTGAGCACATAATTGTTTCCTGTTGTGTTTGTCATATCAGGCATAACATTTGATAACGGCACAAAAGCATTTGTAAACAAACTTTCTAAGGTCCTCTACACGCGAACCAAAGTACGCTCACGCAAACCAACACCATCATCGGATAGGAGCAACTATCACCTTTCCGAAAGTGGTATTGGTTTGCGTGGGCGTACTTTGGTTCGCGTGTAAAGGGCCTTAGAAAGTTTGTTTACAAATGCTTTTGTGCCGTTATCAAATGTTATGCCGTTATCAAATGTTATGCCTGATATCAGGCATAACATTTGATAACGGCACAAAAGCATTTGTAAACAAACTTTCTAAGGCCCTCTACACGCGAACCAAAGTACGCTCACGCAAACCAATACCACTTTCGGAAAGGTGATAGTTGCCCCTATCCGATGATGTTGACTTATCTGGTTGGATCTCCATACGTTTCGTAAACTCGCAAAGGCAGCCCTAGCCTTCTTGCTTCGTGCACCTATGTCGCTCTTGGTCCCGCCGTCCGACGCTATTTGGCTGCCAAGATATTGGAAACTTTCGACCTTCTCCACTGCTTGCCCCACTACCGTAAAGTTGGAAGGGTTGCCCGTGTTGATATCCAACGATTTGGTCTTGTTGACGTTGATGGTGAGACCCGCCGCAGAGGAGCGTTTGGCTAGCTAATTGAGCTTACTCTGCATATCAGAGCGCCGTTGTGCTAGAAGAGCAACATCATCAGCCAAATCGAAGACGTTGAGATGCCCCACGGTTCGGTACACGGTCAATTGCACCTGCCATGATCTCGTCAATTACGATGAGAAACAGTAGCGGTGATAGTATACATCCTTGTCTCACACCAGCGACTACCCGGATAGGGTCGGACAAGGCTCCGTTATGCAGAACTCTGCACGTGAAAGCCTCATACTGCGCTTCGATGAGGTTGACGATTTTATCCGGGACTCCCTTGCGTCTCAGGGCGCCCCACAGATTCTCGTGATTGAGACGGTCGAAAGCTTTTTCGTAGTCAATGAATACCAAATAAAGGGACTCTTGGAATTCATTGACCTGCTCCAGGATGATGCGGAGCGTGACAAGATCTTCCGGCACAGAATCCTGCCTGCTGCCGTCGGAGAGTCGCGTCGATTTTCTCCTGTATCCGATTCAGGATAACTTTGCACAGAACTTTGGGAACAATACACAGTAACATGATGCCTCGCCAATTGTCGCACACAGTCAGATCCCCCTTCTTTGGGACCTTCACTAAGATGCCCTGCAAAGTCGCGGTGTCCCAGATATTACAGAATAGTTGATGCAACATTTGTGCGGATAGCATGGGGTCAGCTTTGAGCATCTTCGCTGATATGCGATCGACCCCTGGAGCCTTGTTGGATTTCATGCTTCGGATAGCTGCTTCAATCTCCTGCAGTGATGGGGGCCTCGGAATTGACGCGAGTGATGCGCCGCACCCTAGGCGGATCATGCCGAGATGTTGATGGCTGGTTGGCCGTCGAAACTTGAAGAAGTTGTTCGAAGTGCTCAAACCAGCGTTTCAGCTGGTCAGTGGAGTCGGTAAGCAATTGTCCAGTCGTGTCCTTCACTGGCATCCTCGGGTCCATCCTTGCTCCACTCAGGCGTCGTGAGATATCTTAGAGGAGGCGTATATCGCCAGTGTTTGCGGCTTCCACCCCTTTGTCAGGGAGTTCACCCACGCTCGCTTGTCCCGTCTGCAAGAGCGCTTGACTTCCTTCTCTAGAGCCGAGTACCGTTGACGGGCTTCATTCTTGGCTCCTCTGGTTCTCGCCCGCTCTATCGCGGCTTTTCCTTCTCTACGCTCCTCAATTTTCCGCCAGGTTTCATCTGTGATCCACTCTTTCCTCTGGGTGCGCAGCTCACCCAAGTTGTTCTCGCTTGTTTCTATAAAGGCATTTTTGATGGCCGTCCATTGTTCTTCTACGCTGCCACCTTCTGGAACGTACGCAGCTCGAGTCTCAAGTTCTTCAACAAAAGACCTATTTACCGCTGGATCTTCAAGTCGGCGTGTGTTGAACCGCCGCCCGAGTCTGTCCTCCCGTCGCTGGATCCGCGCCATGCGTAGGCGGATTTCGCCGATTAGAAGGTGATGGTCAGACGCGATGTCGGCGCTGCGTTTATTCCGGACATCAAGAAGGTTCCGTCTCCATTTTCGGCTGATGCAGATGTGGTCGATCTGATTTTTGGTATGTCCATCACGGGAAACCCACGTGACTTTGTGCACTGGCCGATGGGGGAAGAGCGAGCCCCCGATCACCATGTCGTTACTGCCACAAAATTCTGCAAACAGCTCACCGTTCTTGCTCTTTTCGCCGAGACCATGGCGTCCCATGACACGCTCATAGTCCGTGTTGTCGGAGCCGATCTTCGCATTGAAGTCGCCAGTGTAGATCTTGATGTCACCCTTTGGAACCTTATCCACGACGGCATTCAGTTGATTGTTTAAATTCTCCTTTTCCTGTAGCTCAGCAACATTGGATTATGGTAAGGTTATGAACCCGTGTTCTAAATTTGGCAACGATTATCGTCTCATTAACAGGCTCTCACTTGATGAGCACAGCACTTGCTTGGACGCTAAGTAGGAGACCAACTCCACGATGGCGGGGAGCGTTTTCACCTCGAATACCAGAGTATAGTAGTACCTGTCCGACGGCAGTTTGTGTTCTCCAAAGTTTGGCCAACGAACTTCACTCAGTCCCAGGATTTCTAGTTTCATGCGTTGCGCCTCGTTGGCGAGTTGTGCCAGTTTACCCTGCTGGGCTAACGTCAATACATTCCATGATCCAATTCGTGTTCGTTGTTTTGCGCTAAAAGTCGTTGCCGTTAAATCAGTTCGATGTCTTTCTCTGTTGGTGCCGACTCCCTGTTATTACCATTTCATGAATTGAAGGTGGGCTCTTCTCCCCACTCATTGGGACATTCCCTCGTATGATGGCTTGTTCTGTATCGGGTTGGAACATTTTTATCATTGAAACGAGATGCTTGCTCCCGTTGATCACGCGCAAGTGTCTCTGCTTACGGGCACACCATCCGTTTTGACCCTTCATACCATGGTAATTTGAATACAACCAGGAATCAAACTTGATCAAGTCATACGAGGAGGACAGTGCACTGTCTAATGACTGTGCCCTGCAACAATTAATTATTTCCTTTACGTACATTCATTCATACAAATGGCATCTATGAAATTAACCACAAAAAAAAAATGTGGGACTAAATTATCATTTCTGATCGAAATTGAGGCAAGGTTGTATTGAAAAATAATGTTTTTCTTTGTAAAATATACAATAATAATAAAAAATAATACATAATGTTATTAGTAATTCCAAAAAAGTGTCAAAAGCCTAAATGCCACAATATGTCCTTGTTCAGTTTTTGCTATGTTTAAAATTATCGACACTTAAAAATTTATAAAAATCGTGGAAAAGAACGTATTGGTAAATTTATTAAACTTTTTGTCAAAACGTTGTTTCATGTACTTCATACTCAGAACACAATGTTTGAAACATTTCAACTAATTTTCTGTGAAATAATACACTAAGTACTAAGTTCAAATATTTTTTAACGGTTTTTGACAGTTTCCATGTGTCTATAGTTTTGAACATTTCAAAGGAATGCATTTTTCTCATGGTTTTTTTTCAATAAAAAATTAAAAATTGAACAAGGAAATTTTGAGATATTTGGGTTTAAACATTTTTATATTTTATTTTTACTTATAAAAACCCTTTTTTCAATTATTTTGTTTTTTTTTCAGATCTCAGACGTCATTTCAATCAAAAATGCCGTTAATAGCTGAACTTTAGGAATAATATGAATCATTGCCCATAACAAACAGTTATTCAAAGTTTCATACAAAGCGGAGTCTATTCAAAAATTCATATTATTTCGCTATTTTGCCTGAAATTGCTTGCTGCAAAATTGGAACTCCGCTCACGTTTTTTCCATGTTTTGAACTTCTATGATGCTCCTCTTATATCGCTTCCGTATGGACATTTGTTCTCAACCAAATTAAATTAATAGACAATCATTTTTAATGTTTAACGAATTAAAATTTACTATTCTTTTAATGTTTAGAAATAATGTCAGTATGGTTTACAATTGATAATCTTAACGAGTATTGCTGATAATGCACTACACGCAGTGGACACTCAGCCTACAGAGCAACAGTCAGGATTACACAAACAACTGTGAACGCACTGATCGCGTGAATGCTATCCCCCCTCGGAGAGCGCCGGCTGCTTATGATTAACGGAAATGTGGCGTGATCGGCTATGACTATCACAATAGGGTAATAAAATAATGCGCGGTGGCCCCCTGTTCTTATCAAACTATGGAAATTAACTGTTCTCGACTAATGACACAGTTTTTCGGTGTGAAATCACTCCCAGGTCGCAGAGATCGTCGGCTATTATGTTTTCGACTCGGTTGACTTCAGCAGCAGAAGGTTACTACTCTGAATGCACTGATACAGCGCGTAGGCTCGTTCACAAACATCCTCTGGGTCCATCTCCATGTCTTGATAAGCACAATTGAGGATTTCACCTCGAATCTCCTTCGTGCTAGACACAGACGCAAACTTCATCTGTCTTACTAGGCGTGCTACGTTAGGTCCTCGCTTGTCGTTGAACAGTCCCATCCTATTCATTATGCACTTGATCACACACTTGGCCGAATCCTGATCGGGAAAGTCGAACAACCCAAACTCCTCCTGTAGGTCATCTTCCAACTGCAGTATCTTGACACATTTGTTCCGATTTCGCAGAAGGTCATCGACCGTCTGAATTCTCCAACCTGCTGATGCCTGTAGGATTTTGAAACAAAATCGTACAAATTAAACTCCCTATCCTATCTGAGATTATTTCGAAAAAGATTATCTCAACTTACCGCAGCTATTAAGCTCGTTAGCAGGATAATACACTCAATCTGCATAATTCCGTTATTTGTTTCGCGCGTCTGCTCACTTACAAGATGCAAATCTTTTTGAGGTGATGGACAAGACTGACGAACGAGATTGTTCATTCATTCAATTGGAACTCCCCGGTGCCGTCGAGAACAGGCAGACAGGAACATCTGGGCATGTCTCTGCTTATCGGTTTGTTTGGTGTTGGTGCAACTGATGCTGATAAACGGCTCGGCTCGGAAGCTATGAATCGCCTCGTGGTGCGTGTGTGTGTGTGTGGGTAAATATACCAAGCGTACGTTATCAATATCGTTGGGAGGTCATTGGAAGCGATGGACTCGGATGATGATTTGCATTTTACTGACGAATCCATCATAATATTATCATTCGACTCTGTGCTGCATTAGGGTAATCAAGAATCACATGTTGTCTAAGTACAGGCGCCAATAAAGCCTAGTGACCTGTGACTGACAGTGTCAAATTGTTACACTGAAAAAGAATCTTACTCATAGAGTGTGCAACTTTTACTCATTCGTATGGATGAATTTCTAAAAGCGTACACTAATAAAAATTCAATGATTAATTTTATGTGTCCCACACATGAATTTTTGCAATGTGATAAACATATGATATATATGTGTCGGACACATAGATTTTATGTGTATACATAAAATTCATGTGTAGCCACACATACTATTCATTTGACTCATAAATTTCATGTGTACTTCTTAGTGGATTCTGTTTATGTGTGAACACATGAAAATCATGTGGAATTTCGCATGGATATTCGCCAATAAAAATGTGTCGAATTTTATGAGTGCAGGCTACTCATGCTCTGAGTGACCTACACTCAAAATAATCGACACGTTATAGTTACGTGAAAAATCAAGTAGAGTATCTCTTTTTGGTTTGCCCTCAATGTTACATGACCCAAGTAGAATCTACATGACACCACTTATATATGAGGGAAAATTCCATTTGAAACCGTTACATTTTGACGTAGGACTACGTCTGTGATTTCTATATGGGGGTACACTTTGTGAAAACCGAAAATGGAACATGTAACAAAATTATGAAAGGATTTGAACGCTAACAACTCAGCTGCCCCTGGACCAATTTCAATAATTTTATCACCAATCGGTCAGATATATTTCTACGCATCTGTTAAATTTAAGACTTTATCATTTTAAAAATGTCACTATTGAAAATTTCCCGAATGTGCAACTTTTGCTTTGAGCACCGATTGCTTGTGAAAAGCGATTTCCCAAACACAGATTTCAAAGTTGAATTTCATTCGATCTCACCAAACGGAGTTTATTCAATCACCGGGTGGTGAGTGGTGGTGTTCTCCAGTGCACAACGAAAGGCTGTCTGGAAGCAGCAAACTGCAGCTCACATGAGCATCGAAAGAAAGAAGAAGAAGCCGCACCGCTATTGATCGTAATCGGTAGCTCTTCGTGAGTTGCTGTGGGCCAACTATGTCAAGCGCGTTATACTAAAAAGTATAAACAGAGAGAACCCTGCTCAAACTCCTATTCCTACACAAAACACAAGCTACTGTTGCAGCTAAAAAAATAGATTTATTATATAAGACCACGTAGTTCTACGTCACAATTGCGTACAACCCCATAGGGCTGTCCCTTGTAGTTTTTTAATGATGTTTACGTGATTTGCCCATACACAGATTCTATGTACGTTTCACGTAAACCCTAAGTGATTTTCACGTCTGAAAAAATAAATGAGTGACACTCAATATGGTGCTAGTTCAGAAGGCATATATAAGATGATACTTTTTTGTGGGTCAATTTAATGGGTAAGTTTAATGAAATAAACATTTACATAGAGAATAATTAAGTCTGTTTCTTTTTTAGTGTTACAGCATTATTCATGGTGTAAGATCGAATGCAGGATAGGCATTTGTATTACATGTATGTTTTCCCGTTCCCGACCACCATGAGCTGTACTGAAAGAATCACGTAACTTCTATGTGAAAATCCAATGACGTTGAAGCTCACTAAACTGAGTGCTTCCATATGAGAATCACGTAACGTCTACGTGAAAAATCTATGTATGTTTTCACGTAGCATTAACGTGAAGATTATTTTGAGTGTACGGTTTTAGAAATTCCTCCATACGAAAAATTAAAGCAGAGCTCCTCTGGAAGTACGATACTTTTCGCTTTCCGAATAGCAAAGGTATGGTTAACAGAAGATGGCAGTGCGTGGACCGGCGTATAAAGCGGGATAAGTAACATCAAGAAATATTTTGATCGGAAGGTGATTACATCAAAAAGCAATTTGACTGGTAAATAAATTTAAAAATGGGATGTTATCCTAGATTCGGACAGTATATAGTGTAATAGCAGGAGCATCGATTGACACTGATAGCTCGACTTTGTTTACCTTTATTTCTTTCGACGTAATGGAAATTTGCTCTTGAAATAATGTATAACGGGAATGATAACCTGGCTCTGCAAAGTTCATACAGGATACAAATAAAGGAATTCAAAAAAACTTTATTGTGTCGGTTTTATCTGGATTTCCTTGATGTGTGGGAACAGTTCTATCGATTGTTTCACACTCAAATCACCATCTGACGTAAGCATCCAGTCGATAGGTTTTGAAATTACAGCTATTGTTGCCTCTGTCATTGTATGTGCTCCTATCATCGTCAAATTAACGATCTCAAGGATACATGGTTAGGGGAGGTGCTGCTACTGTACCTTTCGACCAATGACAGTATGATTGATGGTATGCTCCCATCTAGAGTTATGTACTTTAACCACCGAAAAACCGACGTGACACTTAATTCTGACTTATGCCCGAAAATCGTAAAAGGCCGATTTAAATGCGCAGTGATGCAAACTGCCTAAAACATAGGATTTTTTTTTTGTTTAGATAAAAATAATTTGTACAGAATAGTTCAGATACGAACCAATTCATAACTTTTACATGCGGGTTCATGGCTTAGCTAAATATTTCCCGCGAACATGGAGCCAGATCACAGTAGTATGCTTTGGTCAGAAATTTTATTGTTTTAGCTATGGTCATTCATGTCGGTTTGTCGGTGCTTTAACCAATCATGTTTATACTATTTCATGCGTGACCGATGCATACTGACATAATAGCAATTAGTTTGTAAAAACGTATTCCTACACGATTAAAGCCAAAGTTTTCATGAGAAATTATTAGTTTTGACGTAGGACTACGTCTGTGATTTCTATTTGGGGTACACTTTGCGAAAAACGAAAGTGGAACATGTAACAAATTATGAAAGATTTTGAACGTTAATAGTTGAGTTATTAACGTTCAAAATCTTTCATAATTTGTTGAAATTTCAATAATTTTATCATCAATGCTTTTGAATATTGATTTTCAACACGAACCTATTGAAAAACTGGTAAATGTCCAGCATTGTCCAAAAGCGTCGAATTAACTAACAAATCCACCAATTACCTACATGCATATGCTGCTTCCCCAGCACAGTCGTCAGAGAGTAGTAAGTATAAGAAACAAGTCGAAGTGGCATTTGCCTCCGATCCTCGGGCGCGTGCGAATAGGGAGGATGGAATTGCGTAATATTTTGCACACTCATCGCCATATTCAAAACCACACGCTCCCAACGACCACACAAAATGCTCTCCAGAGTTGTAATCTTGTAACCAAACTTGGCTACAGGGGTTACACTCAAAAAATATATCACATATGTAATGCATGAAATCCATCTGAATTTCACATAGCTTTCCAAAAAAGATTTTTTTTTTCCCATACATTTTTTTAACCACTTTACTACCAATCCCCAGAGAGCCATAACATTCAAATTTGAAAGAGAAAATTCACTCTCACGATCTCAATATCTCAACATTCCATATATTTTGATGACACTCTGTAACATTTTGTGGGGTAGGGAGGATTAACATTTGAAGCCCCTATAGAAGACGATATTGAATGATTTCTTTTGACTTATTTTGACCATAATATGACCATGCGTTCCATCCACTTTTCCAAATTTCGAACTTACTATCAATGGAACAGAGCCATCAATGAAAAAAACAACAGCCTTGACTTAATGGTGAAAACTATTTTTGTAGTTCTTTAAAATTCTACTCTAACTCTTTTCTTAAATTATCTTGGTGGCCCTGAAAAGGGCCGTTTTGTTACTTGGTTGTTGGTGATAATGATGCTTAGACGACATCCATGGCCGGGACTGTCTGCTCTTGGCGTGTTCAGTGACGGCATCACGGATCACATTTTCTCGGCACACCTTGGGTTTCCTCGTACATGGCGACTCCTTTACCAAATCCTTGCCAACCTTGCCACGCCCAGTCATGCCTCCTGGTTGTTTGCCGTTGAACGGGTGCATCGCAACTAATGCGAACGTGCAGTTGTAGTAAAATTATGTTTATTTCTGTTGATAATGGCAGTACATTGATTTATCATATTAATTGATTAGCCTACCTGGCTCTTCATCTTTGTTTAATTTGTTATTCTAATTTAATATTTGCTTTTTTCAACTATTTTACAGAATACCCCTTTGGGAGTGTGTTTTTTTTTTTATTGAAAAATGTGATAACCTACCTAACTACAAGTAAAACTTAACCTAACGTGCTAGATCACGTATGATCTGATGATTTGATCTCAGACAGGTGTCTCTGAACCTTTCCAGGATAAATACTCTTCATTCTTCTAATGTCTGAATTCCAGCCAGGAGGTGGATCTTAGAATTTATAGTCCGCGGGGGACTGTTAAGGACCATCCTAAGGATCTTGTTCTGGATCCTTTGGAGTTTAAGGTGATGGCATTTGGCGCAACTCTCCCAGATTGGCATACCGTACTCGATTACAGGAAGGATGATTTGTTAGTAGACAGCAAGCTTATTTTTCAGGGACAGGGTTGACTTCCTGTTGATAAGTGGATACAACGATCTTATCAAGATGTTGCACTTGGTTTTCGTTTTGTCAACGTGCTCTTTGAAAAGAAGCTTGCTGTCTAGTGTTATCCCGAGGTACACGACCTCTTTGGGCCATTCCACCACTGTGCCGTTCAGGCAGATCTTGTTATTCTCCGACGAAACAAGTCTGGGAGATTTAGAGTGTGGAAAGATAATGACCTGGGTCTTTACCTCGTTGATACGGATCTTCCAGCT